TTCTTATTGATGCCCTCTCCTCCTCGGTGATTTGGGTCTCACTGGGTGCATTTAGCTTAATCCTCGGCTTCTGAAGCTCGACTGGTAGAGGCGAGCCTCCAGGACAGCGCACAAAGAAGAATTCCGCCTTCCAGCATTTCACTGAAGATGGGGCCTCGACCAACACCTTAATGAGCTACCAAGCCGCAAAGTAGTAATACCCCTGCTGGTGATGCTTCAGTTGGAGAAAGTAGGTGATCATCCACATGGTGATCTCAAGGCCGTGGACAAAGCAATAGGAAAGAAGGCCAACTACAAACCTAAAGGAGTTTGGCCTCCCACTCAGTAGGGTGATCATCCACAGGGTGATCTCAGCCTCGCCCTCCCACTCAGCAACCCACTCAGGATCGAAGACCTTAAACTCCTCAGCCTCGGCCCCCTAGCCGTTGGCCTCTCAAGTATTGAGCGCGACAGCCTCGATGAGAGACCCCAACTCGGACTCACTATGGGAAGAAGAGGAAGAGAGAGAAGAGGAAGTAGAAGAAGAGGAAGAAGAGCGGGAGAAGTCAGTGGATGAGGAAGACATCTTACCGAACTTTACGAAGCTTAGACCACGGAACGCCGCCCTCTGACAGCTTAGGAAGACAAAACAATGCCACCGCCCTTCGCACGTGTGTAGCCTCGGGGAAATGAAATGACGCTCCTATTGATCCATCTCGGAAATGGTACGAGCGTCAAGCCAGCTGGTTCACCTAGAAAACCGGTTCAACTTCGAGTCCCTCAGCCCAAATAGCACGCTTAACCAAATTTCAAGTTCAAGTTCCTCAACCGAAAACTGAAGAGCTCTTCTACGCCACACCGCGGCCGAGCACTACACTCCTCGACTTCGGAATTGGGGGAGTGGTGTATGGGTCATGGTTGAACTAGCCCCGGGTGCCACATGTCACATATGTGGCTGCCTTGTCACTTCAGCCATGCCGGCACCATGTCATCGGATAAGCATGACTAAGATAGGAGAGAATCATATGGATAAGGAGGACAGCTCCGTCGGGGATTTGGTTTTATTCCGAACACCTTGGCGAACAACTTCATCCCAAAAACCCCGAAAGCCTCACCCGAATTGGACACGGATCTTCGGCTATAAGTAGGTAATCTTTGCTCAAGGTAAAGGACTTTTGACTCTCTAGCACCCATATTGTTACTTTGCTCGGACCAGCATTACTCTCAACTGCTCGGACCAACATTGCTCTCAACTGCTCAGCCCAACCACCCACTGTTCTCAACTAACTTGAGCGTTGAAGTTCCTACCTGCGGAATAACTCCTCGATCCTCTGACCACTCTTTTGGTTTTAGATCTTAAAGCACGGCTTCGTCTTTCCTCCTCGGCTTTGTCCAGTTGGCAAGATTATTTGACTGCAACTTCGGTTTGGGACACCTCAGATCGAACAACATCACTACCCATTCTCTACATTAAAATATGGTTATTGTTCCATATTGATCTTAGGAGAGAAATATTTTCTATAATAGAAATTCGACTTCCACATTCTTGGGTTGATTCAATATTTAAAAATTGCACCTTTCCACCTAGCAAGGTTTGACCTTTTTGAGCTAAGAACATCCCATTTTTCATTGTAAGCATAAGTTTTTTCAAGGTTTGGAACCAACCTGAATAGAAAGTTTCATTTTTCTCCCTTTTCAATTCTCTTTGAAGAAAGGGAGGGTGCATCAAAAGATTTTTTTTCTTTTGAAATTCTAAAAGGTAATGGAGGGAATTTCGATATTTTGTTATTTTCATCAATGTTTAAGACAATGTCAATTATCATAAAACTTACCGGTACTTTTAAGGGATTTTACAAACAAATTTATTCTATTTCCTAAAATTTAGAAGTAGTAAGGGATTTCCCCTAATACCAATGATTCTCATTTATCAACTAATTTAATTTAATATGAATAAAATATAATATTAAAGACCTATCCAATTTGTGTACAAAAAAATATCAATTTTTATTTCTATTTATTCAAGGGTAAATTTCTTAAGCATTCCTTATTGTTTAGCTAATTGACTAAATCTATCCTTACTGTTTATATATTGTCTTAAAATACCCCTACTGTTTTTGACAATTGACATTGTCGTTAAGTGCTAATGTAAAAAAATGAAATATCGAATTCGCCCTTCACTATTCTTCAAAATTTAAAAATAAAACTCAACTGATGAAAATTTTAAAGAACTGTAATCTCTTTCCCCTTTCGTCATCTACATGGTATTTCTTAGAGAAAGCCCATCAAGGAGCAAGAGACCGCCCTCCACTCCAAGCCCACCATTGCCGCTCCCATTCAAACCTTAGCACCTTCTTAAGCTGCATTTGTAAAATAGATGATAACCGATTAACACGAGAGACTCTAACGCTATGTTTGGTTTGAAGGAAAGAGTAGGGAATGGAAGGGAAATGCAGGGAAACCTATACAAGATTTGTAAAGGCTTCCCTTCCTTTCCCTACTCTTCAAATCAAACATATCCTAAGGGGACTATAACTAACAAAGAAATTAACGAAAACAAAACTCACAAGCCAAAATCAACACTTAATAATGAATTAATGGAAATAAACCAAAAAACAATTAATTTTAGAAGTGCTTATTTTAACAACCACTTAAGGTTGTTTGGTAACCCAGTTTCCAAATCACTTATTATGTTTTTTAAGCACTTATTGGGGTGGGATGTTTGGTGAGTTACTTTCCCCACAAGTGCTTATATTGACATAAATGATAATTTTAGCCTTTTCACATATAAACAATGCTTTTCACATATTATACTATACATTTTAATGAAAAATCACCACATCATGACACCTGAGAGCCCACGTGGGCCCATGTGGATCCAATTAATAGTAATAATAATAATAATAATAATAACAATAATAATAATAATAATAATAATAATAATAATAATAATAATAATAAATCAAGAATACATGTAAGCATTTAACTAATTATTCATACAAAAAATCAAGAAAAAAAATCTATAACTCACATATTTCAGCATATGTTTTGCATCATTTTTAAGAAAAAAAACACAAAAAAATTATACTCATGCATAGGAACCATCGCATAAACAATGCAAAAAAAAGAAAAAAAGTAAATATTTCGGATTTCTCACTTGAAAAATCTAAAAAAACGAATCCAGACAAATATTTACAAAAAAAACAAGAAACTAACATCAAACATGGAGGAGAGGAGTTTGGTGAACTCACCTTCGTTCGCCAACGACTAGACAATCGGGTATTGCTGGTAAGCTTGCCCAATCACAGATCTGCAAACAGGGAGAAGAGTGCCTTTTCAGGCATTAAAAAACTCAAGAAAAATGCTTCAAATCGAATAAAATAAGCAAAAAAATAGTCACAAAGGGAAAACGATAAGTTTGCAAGTTGTATTTTTGTACCATCGATCGTCGCTAGTGGACCTGCAACTGGATTCGCTGCCCTTTGCTTACTATGTTCGAATAGGAGGAGAGGGAAGAAAACCCTCGTGCGGGGGCAAAACTGGAATTAAATAAATTATTTAGAGATTGAATCGTTCCATTCGTTTTGAAAAAGCACTTCTCCAAGAAATGGTGAAAAAAAGCCACTCTCAGGTCACTTTTTTCTATAAGTACTTCTTTTCTAAAAAAGTACTTCTTAGTGACTTTTTTTACTAAACACATAAGTACTTTTTTACCACTTAATGTGTGGTCCCAACACTTAACATAAGTAATTGTTAAAGAAGTACTTTTTAGAAGTGAAATCAAATATGGTGGTAGGTGGTAGACCAATCACAAGATAACCATTGGACCACCACCATTTTCTCCTTCGGTTATTCTCATCATTGCCATTTTGGTTCTTCTACTCTGTGGTCAGATGCCAATGATTTTCTGTTTCCCACCATTACACTTCAGTCCCTCCATTTTTCCATGCCTGAAAATAACTTAATTTAAGTTAATCTCATCTCTCTCAAACTATATTAACAACGATTTAACGTAAAAAGAATAAAGTGACCAGCTAAAAAAACGGAATCAGACACGTATAGAGAGATAAGAGAGAAGAATCTCTCTGTGAGAGGTTTATATAACAACAAAACCAACGAGGCTTTTGGGGTTTGGAACAGAGGGAGCTGTGCAGATTGGCAATCAGGATGCTTCTACTCTGAGAAATTTCTTAAAGTAAACGGCAATCGTTGTACAGGTTGGCAACTGACCATATCGTAACAGATCATGCATTCGGCAGGCCCCTTGGTGAGCTTGTCTTGAATTTAATGCACAAGCTACGACACATTCAATCCCTTGGGTGCTTGATTCTTCGCTTTCCTCTGCAGATGAGAAGGCCGGGCAACATAACTTCTCCAAACCAAAATTGGAATATGAATAAAATCAAATCCAATCCAAACACAAATGCCCAAATAACCCTAGCCTTGATCTTGTTCAATATAAACCAATAGAACAAAGAAACTATTCAGTGACTAGATTCAGTTTCGAAACTAAAGAATCCAAAACGAATTGAAGTAAAATTATAGCATAAAAGAATCAATGAATTACAGTACCGGAATCTCAGAGAGAAAAAAAAAATGAATATCCAACGGTTTTCCCTCCAGCAACGATGAAGGGTGAAAGTGTAAATCCCCTTCCACAATGTGACCGGTTCTAGCGAAAATGATGTCAGAATATAACAGAAAGTTAATGATGAGAAAGGTTTTAGACAATTGTTAGAAACAATAAAAGCGAATTAATCAATTAATTAAATTATAAGATAGTTTAAGAAATTTACATTTTATTTGATTTATGAAATTACCCATTCACCCGTTTTATCAAATGAACTTTAGGCTATGTTTGATTTGAAGGAAGATGTAGAGAAGGGTAGAAAAATCTTTACGACCCTTGTATTGTTTTTCTTATCTTTTCCTTTCTTTTCCTATCTTTTACTTCAAACCAAACATAGCCTTAGAGTTTAAAAGACGGATACCCAGACGAAAAAGCGGTCCCGGATCGGTTTTTAAAAGACAGACGCAGACCCAAACCATTTGGTGTATTAACCCAGTGCAACTGTGCAAGCGGGAGCGGGCATTTTAGAATCTTTCCATCGGAACGGTTACCGAGGCTGTGGTTTATACCTTCCAGCAGAGGAAGGAGAGGATTATGGAGTCCACTTCCAAGTCTTCCGGCCCTGCCACTAAGCGACCTTCAAAACGCCTGCTATTTGATAGGCGTTACGGTTGGGTGTACTCTCTCTCTCTCTCTCTCTCTGCTTCGTAGGGAGTTCTCCGAACCATATAATTGTTGTATTCAGTTATGTGTTTATCTTTTCTGTGTAGGGTGGATGACTGGAAAGATCCATCTGAAGAAGCTTTGGCCGGCGGTAGAGGAATGTCAGTTTCTTCCCTATTTCTTTTGAAGTATTTGATATTTTGAATTTCCTTTTATCTTTTGCTTGTATTTGTAGTATTTATTAAGTTTTTGTATCTTTTTATTTGATCAAAATGTTTTCTTACTTTAGGTTCTGCATTTTGCCTCTTGCAAAGGGATTGATAAAGCTGGGCTCGCAATCGGTAGAGTTATTTATTCATTAGTTTAATTATTTTCCAACCTTTCTCTGTTTTTTAATGGACTCGTTTTTCTTTCAAAATTTATGCTTTTCTATTGGGATTTATGTGATTCCATATGTTTTAGTTTCTGTATTTATGGCAGAGACCTGTGTTATGCATGGGAAGGTGTTCCTATGATGATTGTATAGTAAAAACAAATGAAAACCTAATAAAATTATACCTTTTGGGGCCTGTAGGCCTAGATATTCGAACTCTTAGACCATGAAGATGAGGTTTGCTCTCTAAGCTCCGTTTTTAATCAGCACCTTTGTCTAACAAGTTGCATGCCTTCAATCCAATTGAGGAACGACTAAATGTATAGGTCCTGTGTAGGTTAGTTCCAACTGGACCCAACAGTGCCATACATGTGGTGTGCTAACAAATTCTGTTGAAAGTTTAGAGAACATTTGAAGGTTAAAATTTTTAAACCATATACATAGGAGATTACCATGATTCACTGGTGGACCATTTGTTGTCTGTATCAGTAGATGAAAGAGTTTCATGTTATTTTTGGTTGAGGATACAAGCATGAATGAATCTTTGACTCTTAGTGTTATGGAAGGAGTAGGAAATGAAAGAGAAGAGGAAGGATTTAATTCTGAATTAACATGGAATCCTGTTAAAATAATAAAATAAAAATGAAGGATAAACAACTTACAGAACGTGGTACTCCTTGTTGCTAGTGGGAAACCAAGTAGTACTTGACACCAATTGAGAAGGAAGAAGAAAAATCGATAAAAGAAAGAATTAAGGCAATATTAGGAATAGGACCCAATTATATTCTATTTGCCTGTTTTATCAACTTTTAAGCAGTAAAAGGACAATAATGCCCTTAATACACTATAGCTGATGCACACTGTGTAATGTGGATTCATTACATTAGACAACACCTCCAAGCATGGTTCACAATTTTGATATCAATGGACATTTTTCCATATAGAAATGGAGAAATTTTGGAGATATTTCGTCAATCTCACAAAGATATTTGGAAAATCTAAAAAATCAGAAAAGATTTCTAGAAACGTGGAATTAGTTAATAAACTTTCAAAGAATCATTAGAATGAATATAATTGCATATTTAAGGTTCAAAACCATAGCAAATAATTGTATAAATCAAGTAAGAAAAAATTGAAGACTGTAGTAGGTATCTTTTTCTTTGTCTCCTTTTTGGTCTTTTAGCTATATTCTCTTCATTAAATATGTTAATTACTTGGCACTTTGACTTTTTTCTTTTATATATATATATGTTGTGATTAGTTTGAGAATACTCTTTTGTAGTTATATGCATTTGACTGTTTCTTTTTGAATTATAATGACTTAGTAAGTGAATAATATCAAAGTAGCAAGCCAATTATCCAATCACCAATTCCTCATGATCCTTTTAAGAAAATATTTTAAAAAAAGTAGAATAATTTTAACGAAATATCGAAAAGTTTTAATATTCTAAAGTTTTAAACTTTAAATATATAGTCTATCAATGAAATCTGAAATATCGCTTACATGTTGGCAAAATATTGGGGATATTTGGAAAAACAATCTTGGATTTTCAGATATGTACTGTGGAAAATGTTCTCTAATTTGAATTTTGGTCTGGAAGCGAGTGATGTCTTGTCACCTCCTGATGTAGCTTCCTGATGTAACTTCTTTGTCTCTTCAATAATTTTTTATTTATTTTTTTTTACTTGTCAAAATAATATTTGGAAAAAAAATTCCTGCAAAATTTTGTATCCCCACCTTGCAAAATGAGGATATTTGGCCAATATCACTGGTGTTGCAAACCATGCCCCCAAGCTAGTTAATAGATATCTTCACAAATGAGAAACAGATCTTTTTGTCTTTTTTGATAAGTAGTTCAGATTTTATTACAAGAAGAGAATGGTTTACAAGAGACCCTGAGAATGGTAGGAGATCTACTACTCCCATGAACTGGTCCCCATTTTGCATCATTGAAATTTTATTTGAATATCCCTAGTCAGCCACTTAAACTTTCTCATTTCATTTTTAAAGGACCACAAGATTCCCATAAGTAACCTTTTCATGAATTTTTTTTTTTTGATCAATAACTGAAACAACTTTATTAAATTAAAGATAAGGTGAAAGAGGTACAAAGGAGGGAGAGATAAACTCTCTTAACTCTCCCATAAAAGAACCACAATTACAACAAAGCCCAAAACAATCGATTCCTTCCCACCCCTTGTTTGGCTAATGTATCAGAAAAGGAATTAGCCTCTCTTTTTACCCATTGAAAAGATACCTCCATTTATTGTAATAACTATCTAATTCTCCTCTTCTCAAAAATGTAGCTCCACCACCCAACATCCTCTTCCTTTGCAGCCAATTTATAACCAGCTTTGAGTCCACTTCAATTACCAATTGCGAATTTGTAAATCCTTAGCTTTCTGAATTACTTCCATGATAGCTAAAACTTCAGCCCTCAAGGAATCACCTTCCCCAATTGGACCCAAGTAAAATGCAACAATACTACCTTCATCGTTTCTGAAGACTCCTCCAGTTCTTGATGGACCTGGATTTCTTTTACTACTACCATCAAAATTTAGCTTTATACGAAGAGTAGACTCTGCTGGGGTACGACAGCTGATACCTAGCTTAGGCGTCTCAGCTAGTCTCCCTTGCATTGATCCATTGTGTTAGCCGGCGAGAGTGGGCATGCTTTCATCGCTTCCGTGCTCCTAGTTGGCCATTGAGGAACGTGATGCCCTACGGGGAAAACATTGGGTGAAGATGGTTGGCTAGGTAGTGCAGTTGAGGTCGTTAGCATAGCTTGCCTTGGCCAGACTGGGGAAGAACCAGTCTTAGGACAGGAACGAGTGTACTTGTGACAGTATGAGAGTCACCTTCATAGGAGCAGAGTCAAATACTTATTTCCACTTTATCAATTCGCTGGAGGCACCACTCACCTTCATAGGATGCTCTAGACGAAATGGGATTTAGAGGGTCTTTAGCAATTTTCCGGATAATCCCAGCGAGTCTTGTTTTCATCATGAATCTATTGGCCCCCAACCTCATGACTTTAGTTTTTGGGCCTTATCCAACTCATTAGCCACTCATCCTTTGTCTTCCTCAGACATGGTCGAGCTTGGAGAAGGAGGAGCTTCAGCAGGAGAACTAAGAGAAGGGAGGGCTTTATCCAAGGTCATTGAGTTTTCTCAACCGGATAAAGACAGGTTCTTGTGGTGTATTGCAAGATTCATTAATGTGAAAGAGGAGAGATCAAAAGAAAAGGGGATGTAGGAATAGACACTCGTATTAGTTGTGCAAGCGGAAACATCAACAAGGAAGGGAGTAGTAGATCACGTTCAGGAGGAAATATGAGAGTAGAAATAGTTCAGAGTTAGCATACGAATTTCCAAAAGAAGATGACAAGGCAAGAGAAGATGATCTTAAAAAGATGGAAAAGACAACAGGAGAAATAGAAGGGGAAGGAAGGCAGAACAGTTCGGGGAAGGAGATACTTGGAGGAGGGGGAAAGGGGGAAAACATTCAAATAGGGCCTGAGTTGGAGGACACTGAACTCAAGAACGTTAGTGAAACAGTAGAGAAGAAGTCTAAGCTGTACTACAAGGAGCAGAAAGTGCAAAAGAGACGGTAGTGGAGCATTTAATTCATAGTTGTCAAAGCGACGCCTAGGCGACAAGGCACCCTTGCAGTCTTGCCTTGCCTAATCGCCAAGCAGTTTTCTATAGCGTGTTATAACAAACTTTTATATTCTTAATCTTTTGTGGTTATAATTATAAAATAGACATTTTTAAACTAAAATATTCATTTTGTGTATTTATATACTAATTTATTTTTGTTATTTTCTTATTTGTTAGGGTTTAATCAACACAAACATTGCTAAATGCTGTATTGAACCCTCAAAGACTTCAAAACCTTAACGAATAAGTAAGAAAGAACATAAAATGTTGTCCAATCAACACATTTTCTTCTTTTTCTTTACTAATTTTGTGTTTTTATATACTATTTTCTTCTTTTTCTTCTTTTCTTTTCTTTTCTTCTTTTCCTATAACAGAAATAGGGGTTAAGCCCCTATATTTTTCGAATTTTCTTTTCTTTCTTCTTTTTCTTCTCATGAATATGTTGATTTTCTATACTTTAACATGAAGTTTATACTTTTCTTATGAAAATTATGGATATTTATTAAGGAAATATGATCATGGATCCTAGGGAACTACCCTAGGATACTTGAAAAAAATCCATTGCCTAGCGACACCTAGGTGCCCCCTGTTGCCGAGCCTTGCCTTGGCGCCTTGAAAACTATGATTTGATTGAAGGTGGCTCCAAATTGGTTATTGGATGGCTAAAAGAGCCGGAGATGGCAGCCTGGCCCTATAGGGGGGCCTTGAGAAGATTTAAATGGTTAATATCAAATATCTCAGTTACAGTTCAATAGGAAAGAAGGTCGGCAAATGGTCTGGCAGATTCTCTAGCTAGACAAGGTTTTGGAGATTCAATCCAGGCTGAAATTATGGCTCTCTTACATGGATTGAGGCTTGCAGTACAACTCGGAATAAGGGAATTGGAAGTTGAAGGAGATATGCAGTTAGTCATTTCTTGGTCCAAGAATTTCAGCTCGACTCCTTGGAAATATAGACATGTTTTCAAGGAAATTGACATCCTAGTAAAGAGATTCAATTCTACTTTTGGTTGGATAAGAAGGACTGCAAATGGGTTGGCAGATGTTCTGACAAAGCAAGGAGATGACAAACCTAGTTCGTTTTGGGCAAAGTTGTAACTTGGTGTACTTTGGGCTGTTGGGAACCTATTAGCTTCTTTCGAACTTTTGTTGTAATAGTGGCTTGAAAGTTTTGGGGATGACATTCCTGTCATCAAATTGTATTAATTATTGCTTGAATAAATTCTAATAAAATAAATTATCTTTCGTTGATAAAAAAATGGCAATTCACTTCAATATGTTTGGTACATTCATGAAAAACAGGATTGGA